AATAAGATGAGTAAGCCTACACTAACAAACTTCACTCTAAAGAAGTAGGGAACACCTTGAAGTTTGTCAAATGGAGAATATGAGATATACAAACAAGTGAAGAAACAAATTATGAGAAAGGACACACTAAAATAACAGTGGTTAATGGTGTCTCAGCATCTATATATCCTTCCAATGCAATTTCAAATGATACCAGATACCTTACAAACAATATGAAAGTTAAGAAAGAAATAATTTGCTATTTATACTCAGCATTCTGGATATAATTATACAAAATGGTTCATGTGTGACGTAGATGGTGCAACAGGAAGTAGGGGTCACGTGAACCCTGCGGTCTTGCGAGTGACATCACATACCCCCACGCCTTTCATCATTACGCAATGCTCAGTAAACTCCCCTCCCCACGGTGACATAATAGCACTTCCCACAATGACGTAACAGGGGATACCGCGGTTACTATGCAGCAATAAACAACTCTTGGCAGCATTCCCCAGCAACACCTGTAAACACAGTATTTACGCAACAATGAAGCGATGTTCGTTTTCCGCTGTCCAACTGAGGGTTTATATGGGAGACTGAAATGCGTATGGAGAGAGTTAAAATGTAGCAGCTGCAGAAAACAGTTGAAGTCTAGCAGTCGCCGAGTTCAGTTGCAGCGAGTGAATTGTGAACATGAAGAAAATGTTATAAGTCTAGCAGCCGTAGAAGAAGAAGAAGAACCGAAAGTGTGATAAGAAGAGTTTATGTGTCATAATCAGTGATAGTTAGTGATAACTGAGAGGGTATTGGGAGTGTGTAACTCAGTGATATTTGTATAGCTTCTGCGTTATAAATACGTGAAGACTACTGAAGAGATTATTGTGTAGAGTTTGTGAATTGTCTAAACCCACAAGAGTGTTATAAGTATTTGTAGTTACAACCTGGAGGTTGTTAAATAAACCAATTAACAATCTGAACTGTGTCTTCAGTAGAAAAACACGTTACAATATACAGGGTTGTTCAAAAAAAAAATGAACCAATTTCATGACGCATTGCTTCACTTCTCAAGCATCATCATGGAATGAGTCAGTGACCATTTGAAAGAG